AGTTGGGTTAATCTAAAATAATCGATTGATAATCTTTCAATTCGATTGTTGATGATTGGGATTTCAATCGATTGAGCAGATTAAAATCGATTGTCCGATGAAAATCCGATTTTAGTTGGGTTAATCTAAAATAATCGATTGATAATCTTTCAATTCGATTGTTGATGATTGGGATTTCAATCGATTGAGCAGATTAAAATCGATTGTCCGATGAAAATCCGATTTTAGTTGGGTGAATCAAAAATAATTGATTGACTTGATTGATTTTACAATCGATTATAACATGTTAATCGATTTTAATCGGATTCTTCTAGAAAAAGTAGAAGCTTTGTTCGAAAAATCGGATTTGTCAGTCGCTAATCAAAAATAATCTGGATTTTCTTCGGAATATTTTTCACTGGGACCGTATGAAATTGGAGATAAGATTAAAGTTGGTGGACGTACATTACAATCAGATAGATCATCGATAAAATATTGGGTTGAAGACAACATAACTATCACCGAAACAGCGAGCGGAAGACATATTTTAAATATGGCTGGTTATTTTTATTATCGAAAAAATTATGGAAAGAATTTCACAACCTGGGAATGCGAACATCGACGTTATCGCCAGTGTTTAGCTATAGTTATTCGATCATCAGATCCGAATGTGAAAAATAATTTTCGAATTTATTCTATTCAAGGTGAACATACACATGAACCAACACCAGATAATATTGACGTAAGAAAATTTAAACAACGTGTACGTGAACGATGTAAAACAGAAGTTGCAAATCCACGAACAATTTATGAAGACGAACTGAAGAAAGGAAAATATTCGAGAGAAATGTTAGCAGTTATACCAACATTTTACAATATGCGTGAGTAAACAAATACTTCTTTCTCAGTTTCATTTTCTTAAAGCAGACAGTATAAACACTAATCTGGTGACCAGTTGTCCTGGTACAAGCCGCTTTGGGCTGGATATAATCCAAAAGGAAAAAAAAGTTAATAAATTTTATCTCACGAGGGAACCGTTCGAAGTGATTCAAAGCTTTTAAGCCGATATTTTGCCCATAAGTAGAGTTCAATGAGATTAGAAAAAGCCCAAAAGGACAAGGGCCCATGGGCCTTTCTTCTCGAGTT